AATAGGAAAATGTTGTTGATAACGCAAAAGGAAAAAGAAAAAAAAAGAAAAGAAAAAAAAGAAAAAAATCCCAAGTATCATATGCTACTGTTTCCTCAAAAATCCTAGTCGAAAACAGGATTTTTTAGATGATTCTTTTCCTTTTCAATGATCAATCTCTAAAAGGAAGGTTGGAAAAAAAATGTGAAAGAGAGGGTGAAGTTATGTAAAATAGATTATTAATTGCCTTGGATACTTAGGAGGAATTAAAAACTATTAAAGTGTAACAAAAGTTACAAATATGAAATTGGATGGTGTAATTGAAACAATCTTTTTATCTTATTTTTTTATACAATTTTTACATATCATTAAATGAGTATATGCATTTAATATCAAAGGTTTCATATGAATAAAAAGAACCAATCATTAAATGATACGTCGAGTTGTATTAAAAGGTGGGATGAAAAGGTTGTCCCAAGATCATTTTCCTATTAAATTAAATGTAATATCTTAAGGTAAATTATCCTAACACGAAATCAATAAAAGAAAATACGTCACAGAAATAAATTTACAGATAACAAATTATATAGAATTGCAAATAATAATTTTAACTATGTAATTCATAACAATTAAATTAATTATTTATTGATTTAAAATAAAAATAATTAAACTATTTAATTGCTAAAACTAAAGGAGAATTTATGAATCAATCAAAGTCTAGAAACTTGTAAATTTAAATCTAACCTATAAATTAAAGTCAAATAAAGTATGACAGTTGTGCAAAAACAAAAAAGAGAAAGCAGAAAGTATTCAACCATTTACATAAATAAATAATAGAAATGAGTCCACAAAAAAAAAAAAAAAAAAAAAAAAACTAATGAAATCAATGAAGTACACCCATTTATAAGGTGGAATTACTTTTGAATATTTAAAAATTAATAAAAGTTGCAATCTTTGAAAAAAATACAAACAAGTATGAAAAAACCTAAACTAGATCAAAGAACAAAAGCAGTTCTTACATTCTAATTTGAAAATTATGCTGAAATGTGAAAAAGAAAGTTTGAAAATTGAAAATTCATGTGTGTTGAGCAATTTTTCTGTAAGGCAAGTTGCGTAGAATTGATCTTTTCTTGTTTTCTTTTTCTTTGATGCTGGGATCCTTCCTCCATGATTTTTAGCCCTCTCCCACCATAAACGGATAGTGGGTGCTCCACAAGACAATTTCTTTTTGTTTGACAACTGACAGTTTTAATCTAATTTTAATTTTAATAAAATACTAATAGTAACCTCATCTTAAAAACCTTCAATTTCTTGATTTAAATCAGACTTAACTACGAATTAGATTACCTTATCATCTATCACGTAAGTTCAACTCACCATAAATTTCGTAGGAATTGTAAATTTTCAAGTTGACCCAAACCAATTCATCCTAAAAAAATATTACTCTAAAAAAAGAAATAAAAATAATGAGACTTAAATCAAAAAATATATATTTATTTATTTTTTTATAAAATATGAAAAAACAATTATTATTTTGAAATAAATTTTAAATAAAAAAATATTTATTATTATGAGGTGGGAGGAGTATAACATGGGGCCCAAAATTTCATGTTTTTATTTTAGTTCCTTATCCATTTGCAGTTTCTTCTCTCTATTTTTAATTTTAGGTGCCTTTTGATTTGCCGTAAATAACTAAAGTATTTTAAATTCATATTTAAGTGTGCAACTTCATATTAAGAAAAGAAACTTGATTTTTCTGGGGATGACGAATGAGTGGGAAATGAATAATATCAAGAAGATTCTGATTTCTACAAAAGGGAAAAATAATGAGAAAAATGGTGTAAACCAAACATTGGTTATTTTAAGATTAATGTATGTCACCAGACTTTATTGGAGGGTTATGGTGTTGTGGTAACCTATTTAATAGATGGGGAACATGGAAATGAGAATGCTAGCACAGCATTAATGACTGAGACAATTGCTTTGGACATTGGCATGCGCCATACCCATACAGTTAGCTGCAAGGAAGCATATGTCATTTCCATTTTTGATAAAATAGGAAATGGAGGGACATTGTGACAATCACGAAATACAAAATCACTAGAATCTGCATGAACTAGGTCATGTTTTGGGCCTAGGCCATTCCTCTGTTTGGGAAGCTGTAACGTTTATTAGCGTTGGGCCTCGAATTACCAAAGGGCTGAGCCCACACGATATTCAAGGATTATCAGACAGCAAAGTACCAGGCTAGATTAATCAGTGTATAAATACAGTGTCCCTATATACCCAAAAAAAATTACCAGGGTAGGCCATTCAAAGTATAAAATAAAATAAAGTAAAATAGATTTTCCTAATTTATATTTCAAGGATATAGTTTAAAAATATTGTTGTTATAAATACATACAAAAAAATAAAAATTAACATTAATTTTACATGGTTTTTGATTTAAGAAAAATAGAGAAGAAAGAAAAATTTTTTGATTTAAATATTATAATTTAGTTAACCAAAAACCACTTTCTTTTTCTTTCAACTTTTTTCAATCCAAATATACTATTAGTGTTGAAGCTAACTGAATAAATTAATTACAAAATACGACAATTAAGCACAGGGAAACGAGTACACAACTCAACAAAAAAATATCCTAAAAAACTAATCATCTACAACATTCAAACCTCAACCCCTCTTCCTAAAGCCTCTTTGACATTTTTTTTATTAGAATTAGTGTATGATACCTTTTGCTCAATCATTATATCCCCCTACTTCATTATCAATTAACTACAATCGAAATTCAACCTGTAGAGTTCAAAGTAAATCAATTGGATCAGACACATGACAAAATTAACATCGACAAAATTTTCCACAAAACACTTAAAATAACAACATAAAAATGTTCCAACATTTATAAGTTTCCCAATATCCTTAAAATCATAGCATCACCACCTATCTCAAAGTTCAACATCCACTCAGATTATCAAAATAACAAAGCACAGAGAGTTGAAACCATATGCAGTAAACCATGCAGTCTAAATGTCGAACTCAACCACTCCTCAATACAATAAAAATCCACACAAACTAGAAATCATATCCAGAAAACCATGTTGTCTAAACATAGAACTCAATAACACCTCTCAGATGATTCTCAAATTGAATGTCTCTTCGTAACCAATAAAGTTGGAAACCTGCACCAAAATCAAACCAAACAATCAAACATGCATACAAAGAATTAATGATAAAGTGGCAAGTTCACAATTTTTTTTTTTCTCTCAATGAGTAAGAGAAAAGGGTTAGGTTGTGAAATAACCCAAGACAATGCCCTCATTGGACTTCATTACACTTTCTATGTCTGTTTAGCAATAACGAAAAAACAAGAGGTTCGCTCACCTCAAGCTAATGATAGCCCAACCAAATCAAGCAACGTAGACATTCAATTATCTGCAAGCAAAATGGAAAACTTGTTCAATTAACAAAATGTTATGGAAAAAAGAGGAAGAAGATTAAAGTAATTTCAAAATATACCATTTTTAGTTTCTTCTGCAGTTTCTGCCATCATGACCTGTTTCTTCAGTTTCTTCTTTGGTTTCTCAATGCATTGTTTTCCCAAGTTTTTTCTGAAAGAGACACCAGAACAAGATATGATTAGCACAAAAACTGTTAAATCCAAATCCCAAATTTTTGAATGATGGTACCACAACAAAATCAAACTTACAATTTGTTTCCTCATGGCCTTCACTTTTGGAAGCAGCTGATTCTCTTTCCTTGAATTCTTTTTAGAACTTTCACTCAACAGAAGATACTGTTTCTTCCAATACTCTTTTTCAGCCTCAACTTTGGTGTTTTTCTCCACCTGCTGTTGCGCCTTCTGCAATTGATCCCCCAGTGTTTGTATTTGAGCTCTAAGTGCATTCAGTAGCCGACCGTTTACCTCATTTTCATCTATGAGTTTCAGTTCCTTTTCCTGAACATTCCATATAGCATACAATAAAATTCAAAGACTGCACTCAGAGAGTAAAAATCTAATAATAAAAGATACTTGTTCAATTACCTTTTCCTTTTGGCGGTATTTTCGATCACTTGCTCTTTGTCTCTTAAGCTTTTCTGCAGCTGGATCCAATTGTTCCTGGATCAATGGCTGAATTCCAGCTGGCATTTGATTCTCCGGCAATTGTGTTCCAGATGCAGGCAGTGTACCAAATTGATCCATGGAATAAGACGCGTCAGGTGGGCCTGACAGCATTGTTGGAAGCGGTACCATTTTAAGTGCATCCGCAATCAGCTGGTCACATTGTTGCTCCGTTAATCCCTTATCATGACTGGCAAATTCAGGGGCTGCTGGTGGTGAAAGTATATAAACCAGAGAATCCAGTAAGGTGTGTATGAGATATTCATCAAAATTACTAAAGAAAAACTATTATTGCTTAGAAAATCTAAAGATATATTGATTGGATTGAAGTTAAAAATTTGCAATGTAACACTGTTTTTCTCCATAAAGTGGTGAGAGTTATAAAGGGTAAAAGCACAATTGGGGAGCTATATACTCAGGATAACGAAAAACCTTTTTA